AGTGCTCATAACCTAAAATGCGTAAAAAGGAGTATCAGATGAACAATTGAATAGCTGATTCTCTTATCGAGAGATTTCAAATTGGAATATAATTGCACAAAATGTTTTGTTCCATCTATATAAAAAAACATGTATGAATATATTCATCTAGCTGAGTCAACTTGAGAGTAGAAAACAAGCAAAATGATCGAACTTTTACTAGGAAGAATTAGGATAGCTATAAGCTGATGAGTTTTCATTACTTTGTCAATAATTATGTCCCATCACATGTGTCCCACATGTAGACGTCTATAGTGGGGGAATTGATATGTCTTTGCCCCATTACGTTAATTAAAAAATAATTAAACCTTAATGAATCAACAAATATGGTCAGCACTTTGTTATCCTTGTCCTGCTTCTTTTCGGGTATTGATGAAAAGTCAATACCAAATTGAATTGATATATTATTTATAGATGTGTACGTCTATATAACCTTGTCTTGCCTTTTTAGATTCTCCAATAATCGTGAAAACGAGAAAATGGGAGGCCAATCCAATACATAATAGGGTGATAAATTGTGGCAATAATATGTAATACATATACAAGTACTGTTGTAACAAAGTGACAAGTAGAAAAGCTGAGTATATGATAGGCAAGGAAGTGCACAATCATATAATTTCTTTTTTCTTGTCACTATAACATTTGGGGTGTCCTTCGGTCGGTTATCGATTAAATCGAGCCATCCCTAGAGTTGCCGACCACTGACCGGGCAGGAAACCATGGCTAACCGACTACAGGCCGGTTGGTTAATCGGTTTTGGGTCGGTTAGCCGGGGTAACCAGAATGGTGACTGTCGGTTCGATTTTAATAGGGAAACCGACCGGAACCAGTCCCACATGCATGAAAAAAACAGTAAAATTACCTAAAGTTAAAGGCTCAAACCTACATTTCTACATCTAAATCACCCAAAGTAAAGTTTCAATCCCTTTTGCATCGAAGATACATCTAAAGCACTAAATTAATGTCTCAAATTCATTAATTAAACAACATAAAGCCATAAACTCCACAATTCACAAATCACAATTCACAATAGATCCTCCAAGTAGCAACAACAAGTCAACAACAAATCAACAATACATCATCATCATTAATCACTTATCAACAGCATAAGAAGAACCAACATCTACATAACCCTGTTCTTTCAATCAGCCCAAGAAGTCATGACCAAAATCGTCATATCCATCTTTCTCATCTTTTCCTCCGACACTTTTTCTTCACCCTCTTGCTTATTCTCCATTGGAATGATGAGACTTGCATCTTCATTGGCAACATTGCCATTACCAATTCCATTATAGACTGGAAAGTGGCATTCACTGAGTAAAAAAAAACAAAGTGTTAGTAGGACATTCATACATTTAATTAGGTGGAAAGAAATAGTGGAAACTTGAACAATAAGAGAGCTTTAGACTCACCACTTTCCAAATCCAAATTCTCTTCATCATCTTCCTTCTCGTCAATCTCTCTGGATCCGGTATTTGGATACCTTATCCAGTACTCAGCACAATCAATGCCTCCACCATTGTATCTCTCAAAGAGGACCTGAATGGACTGAGAATCCAGCCGCCATAGCTGAATGTTGCCTCTGAGGCAACATAAGAGATGGAAACAACTAAGATATCCTCAGCAATCTCAGCAAGAATCGGATATATTCCAGATTGTCGAGACCACCAACCCAATATGTCAAACTTGACATCATCACTCTCCTCATTAATGCCATCAGTTTGACATTTCAAATATATGTCAAGCTCAACAGAGCTACCTCCTGTTTCTTGCAGAAGTGCTTCCCTTTTCATCTTCCTGAGTCTCTCCTCAAGCTTATTAATCCTATTACCAATATCTTCAGCAAAATTACCACCAACAATGCTCTCATCAGTGGTAGGCTTAGATGTAGAGGATGGTGCTTTTGATCCATACTTCCCCTTATAAACCTTAAACATTTGGCGTATTTCCCTTTTAGTGGAACTCTCAAATTCTTCTCCCTTCATACCCCCATAAATCATTTCCAAAACCTCAGAAATAATATCAAGTTTACTTCTAGCATCAAGCACACATGTTATATAAATTAAGTGATTCACCTTCATGTTCTGCTCATTCATAACATGTGTCTCAAACCAATACTTTTGTACCTTTTTCTCAACCTTTTCTGCCATCCTTTGGATCTCTTCATGTGGATCATTCTTTATTCCTCAATGATGTCATAAATTGGAACAAGCTTCTTGAAGAAGAGATGGCTAGTCATATATTTAGTTCCTGTACAATGAGAAGAGAACAAAGAAAATTAGAGTAAAACAAGTAAAGATGGTCAAATGGTTAAAATAAGTCAATCAATTAAAATTCCACCTACCCGAGACTAGGAGGGCCAAGTCATTGAAGACTTTCAGATACTTCATCAACTTCCTAATCAACTGTCAATCTTGTTCAGTTGGAAGACTTTCATATACTTCATCAACACTCCATCAAATCTTTCTACTGACTCTAACATGATATAGGTGGAGTTCCACATGGTCGATACATCCAAAGACACCAATTTGGTTGACTCCATATTCAAAAATTTCATGGTAGTCTTGAATCTTGTCAACCTAGATGGCGATGTCCTCACCCACTTCACACAGTCCCGAACTCTATCCATAGCACCTCCAATTACTTTCGGTCCATCTTGCACCACTAGATTAATGATGTATGCCACGGCTAAATTACACGTTTGGTCACCCAAATTATACAAATCTTTCATGTTTGCCACTCGAATTACTTTTCTTTCTTATTCGTCACTAACTTTACGAATTGTTTCACCATTAGTCACCCGCCATTACACTCGGTTAAGTTTGTCCTACGTGGCAGCAGCGGCGGATCCAGGACATAAGAGAGCACTGGGCCGTATTTGAATAGAATATTAGATACCATAAAAAAAAGTATAATAATATAGTTTTCATTACAACGCCAATTGTACAAGAAGGTCTTTTAATTTAGCAAATTCATCAATAATATAATCTCCATCCTTACTGATAATATACTCTTTTTCAAAGAAAATAGCTAAGTAATCAACGAGAAATTCATCGCTCATTTTGTTGAACAAATCAATGTTCATGTTCCATTGCTGAAAATATTCTCTTCATGGTAGTTGTTGAAACGGCTAGGTCAACACTAGACAAATCAACCGACAAATCAATTTGTATTATGTGTCCATCCCTATTTCCTCCAGCTTCTCTAATAATTTTGCAAGAGAAGAAACTTCATCTTCCTCACATGAGTAGTGCATTCTCCAAAGAATGCATCTCATAGCCTTCAAAGTCTCGAGGCTAAACTCTTGAGCAAGTTTGTAAATATTTTCTTCATCAAAACACCAGAAAGAACGGTTAGAATCTAATGCCCCACTCAATTGAGGCAATCTAAATGATGACTCAGCAAGTTTGTAAATATTTTCTTAATCAAAAGAATGGAAAGAAAACCAGCTCGACGGGCTGGCAGAGAAATTCATTTTGGGCTGCTCGTCTCCTCGTTCTTGTTTTGTTTTGTTGGGATTGGGAAATTTTTCGAATTTCGCAAGGAAGGGTGTGCTTTAGTTTAGAGTTTTTTTATTTTATTTTAATGAAACTTTACACTTTTAGGTTTTCATGTCATTTTTCAAATAAAATCATTGGGGCTATAGAAAATTTAGTATAAATTTAGAGTAATGGTTTGGATATGTTCCTCTGAATCATTTTTCTAGTTACACAAAATCCTATTATCAAATAAAACTAGACAGAATTTTAAATAGCACGGGGCCAAATACCTAAATCGAAAAATTTTATAAGTACTAAACTAATTCCGGATTCGGAGGAGGGCTGGGCAGGGGCCTGGGCTGGCCCAGCCTTGGATCCGCCACTGCGTGACAGTCAACTATAAAGTTTTACCGTTAACTAGGTGACGTGGATATTAAAATGAATTAAAAAATAATTTTATTTTTCCATCTCATCATTCCACTTGCTTTGTCTATATGCTTTAGAGAAATTCTTCAATGCTCCCGGACCACCACCTCATTTCGCTGATCTGGTGCTCCCAACTAATGAAACTATGCCACGTGGAAAATAAAAAATAAATGGAAAAGATTACAAATTAATAGCTTCTTCCTAAAATCATTGCTTCAGCAAATAAATGGCGTTCCCTTCTTCCTTCCTTATTCCTTTCCGGTACAGCTTTCATTTTTACAAACACCGATGAACAAAACCATGAAACAAAAGAGCAGAATTCATCGATCAGAATTCAAACAAAGCTTTCTAGCTTTACTCAGACAAAGTTCGCTCGCCGCATCGGGCACATTTATTCAATCTTTCAATCTTCCGTTGAGATTGAATATGTTTTCAAATCAAGATAAAATTTTGTTTCAGTGAAATTGAGGGAGTTGTTCCGTTGATGAGGAAGATAGTCTCCGGCCGGTAGCGATATCGTCGATTGAGAAAAAATCAATAATCTGACAATTGCATCGATCCATAATCTAAGTTGAATCTTTATTGAACTGTAAATCATATTCAGTAGCGATGGGAAATCCTCAGAAGATTCACATTAACTTGTATGCTCCTGATTGAATTCAGAATTAGAGCCCTAAATCTGGTGGTTTCAGCGAAATAGCAAGAGAGAGAAACGAAGGGAAAAAATCAGACAAAGAAGAGAAGAATTGAAAGTCTAGTAATTTTAATATTATACACATGGCAGCTTATTACTGGCCGGGAGCACCAAATAAGCCATCCAACGTGGTACTCTCGGACCACCGAAGAATTCCTCATATGCTTTATCATATTTATTATTTAATTAAAACTAATTAAATTATGAAATTAATTATTAGCGAGAGAATTCCTCTTCCTTCACAAACCAGGTGAAGCTTTGCTCCGACGCCTCCAGAGCACCAACGAGCCTCTTCCTTCCTCCTCCTCTCCCATCTCTGCCCTTCTTTGTCTACTGCATAAGCTTTGGAAAAAAAGGCATGGGCTCGAATTCTAAGAGATCTAGCGGGCCAGTGCTCCGGTCGCTTTCTCCCCAAGGCCGATTCCCGTCGTACAACTCCGTCAGTCATCTCTCATCTTCCTCGTCCTCATCGGCGTTCGCGTCTTCCACGAGCTCGAGCTTTTACTCTCCGCCGTCGGCCATCTTCCGCACCACAGCTCCACCACACAGATCCGCCTCTTCGACGCGCGTCAATCTATATTCCCAGAGTCCTTCATCGCCGAAGTTCCGATTCTCGATCGAGCAGATCCACATCTCCCAATCGCAACATATATGTCGCGACGAAGCACACCAATAACATCTCCAGCCTCCCCGCGAGGAAGACGTGTATGTGCTCTCCGACCTCGTATCCCGGATCGTTCCGTTGCAGTATCCACAAGAACAGCCACCATAACGCCCACACCGGAGGGAACTCGTTCATGCCGAACAGGCTGAACATGAGGAGATACACGATGACGAATTCGCTGGTGAGGATCGGCGGGGTGGAAGGAGACTGGGTGAAGAGAGCGCTATCGGCTTTGATTCGACCGTCGTCGCGGAAAGGGTTCAGACTCAGATTCCACACCTTTGTAAGGCTCGTGGAGTTTGAGGGTAGTAATACACGGCAAACAACCCTATTCTGTTGAAGAAGAGCCTCGGAAAGTAGAGTTTGTCAGCGGTGTCTGTAGCCCAGGAGAAGATCACATCGACAATGATGCAATCTGGCTGCCACTACAGAGGAGATCCTCGATGAGTTGTTGGAAGACAACCATGAACTTGAAGAACGGGATAATGAGGTCCGGGTACTTGATGGCGTTGACGCAACCTTTTCTAGCAGCCCTGCCTCGGCACATGAGAATTCGATGATGTGGGTTTGGATTTAAAGACCCAATTGAGCGTCTTGGTGGATCTTGTTGGAGAAGAGAGGGGCGTTCAGGAGAGTGGTGATGATCGTCGATTTGACGCCGTGGCGGGAGAACAATCACGCCATGAATGTCCTTTGGATCCTAATTCCTATGGCCTTGAGCCATGAAATGGAGGAAGACCATGTGGAGGAAGCGGTTGATAATTAATTTTTATTAAATAAGTAAAAAGATAAAACAAAGTAAGTGGAATGATGAGATTTTAAAATAAATTTTTTTTAATTTATTTTATTTTCCACGTCATCTAGTTAACGATCAAACTTTATAGTTGACTACCACGTAGGACAAATTTAACTGAGTGTAATGGCGAGTGACTAACGGTGAAACAATTCGTAAAGTTAGTGGTGAATAAGAAAGAAAAGTAATTCGGGTGGCAAACATGAAAGATTAGTACTATTTGAGTGACCAAACGTGTAATTTAGCCTGTATGCCACACATCGAAACTGCAAATACTTTCCATGCATCAAATCACACCCCACTCTTTTAACTTCATTCTCATGCAATTACTAAGAACATCATTTGAAGTTGCATTATCTATGGTCATGCAGAACAGATTATTTACATTCCATTCTTCAAGAATTCCTGCAAGCTTCTCTGCAATGTCCTTTTCGGTATGACTTGTGATGGGAACAAAGGATAGAGCCTTATTCTGCAACTCCCAATCAATTCCAACAAAGTGAGCAGTCACACACATGTTATTCTTGTTGTTATCAGAAGTCCATGTATTTGTGGTAATTGAAACTTTGTCTTTGCTCTTTGATTCAAAAAACTCAATCAAATGCGCTTTTTTCTCCAATAAGATACGATAGCAATCATTTCTTGTAGCTCTCCTCCCAAGTATCTTAAACAGTGGTTGAACAACTAGCATGAACTTCTTAAACCATTCCCTCTCCACAAAGCGAAATGACAACTTATCCATAATGATAATCATGGCTAAGGCATATCTAGCTTTTGCTTGATCAAACTTCCATAAAAGACTTACTTGACTTTGACTACCATCCGCTGTCTGCAAGTTCAAAACAGTCTGATCCTTCGATGCTGCCACCTTAGCCAAACATGATATCCGATGGCTATTAATTGCAGAAGTCCCATTCTTGGAAGGATGGGCTTCTATTTGAGTATGACAATGCCTGCAGTCTCCCATCGGATACTCGTTCACCACCACCTTCATAAAATCCATCCAACAATCAACCTTACCCTGTGCATGCAACCATTTCTCTATGTCGAGGTTGTTGCCTTTAACTTTAGCTGAAGTCGGAGTATTCGTGTCTACTGTTGTAGTCTCAGCATGTGTAAATCCACTATCGATAGGGGTGGGATCCGATGAAGTTGATGCCGACAGTTCAGCAGCTTGAACAAGCCGACTTCCTAAACGCCCACCATGATCTCAGGTTTGAGCAGGAGGGGCTGTGGCACCCGCACCACCACAACCTCGAGGAGCAGGAGATCTCCCGCCACAAGGAGCAGTCTCAGCGGTAGGGGCACTTCGTCCGCCACGTCCACCACAAGGAGCCGAAGGTCTCGCTCTACATAAACAATTACACAAATTGAGAATTGAAACTCAATAGTCAATTCAAGGAAATTCTAACAATCATCATTCATCATCAACTCTCACAAGCATAATCAACTAATCATCTAAATCGTCTTCAACTCCCACAACCACAATAATAATTTTTATCATCTAAAATCATCATCAAACTTACATATAAAATCATCAACAATCTGACTCAACCATCATCAACTCCCATTATAAAAAAAAACTTACATTTCAAACTTCAAAGGGGACGAAGAATTTGTAATGGCGACGACTTGGTGGGTGGCTGGTCGTGAATCCGGCGAGCCAGAGGGGACGCGGTCGTCGGTTGAAAGCGAGGGCGTGAGGTCTAGGTGAGCGCGCGGTTGGGAGGCGACGTCGCCGGGGGGAGACGAGGCACGGGGTGGGCGGCAACGTCGAGGGGCCGGCGAGGCTGGTCGTCTGCCGTGTGCGACTCTGCGCTGCGCTATTAGGAATTTAGGGGTGGTGGTTTCTGGCTGGTGGGTGACGGGTTGGGGGGAGACGAGAGGGAGAGATGGGGAGAAGGTTAGGGTTAGTGGTGCTGGGTCATTTTTTCCAGATTTTAGGGTTGTTTTAGGGGAAGGGGACGGGTGGTGCGATGTTGTTTTGGATGAAATGCCGGGTGACCGACCCTCTTCCCCTTTCATCCGATAACCGACTGCTGGCAAAAGAGGAACGATTTTTGGTTAGTCAAAAACTGGTCGGTTCGGTTGTAACCGACGGTTAACTGCTAACCAAAAACCGTTCCTCCACCCCTAATAACACTGCATATCATTATTGATACTTACGGGATCAAGCGTCCCTGATTGGAGAGAAGAAGCCTGGAGTGACGAAAGTGCAGGAAATAAAAATCACATATACTATAGATAAAAGACTTGGGTAAATAAACTGTGAGAGTCAGTGGAGTGGAAAATATATATTTAGCTATAGAAAGGGTAATTAAGTTTGACTTTCTTTTTGTTAAAGAAAGTCGTATTTGATTGAGTGTCTGTAACATGAGATAATGAAAGTATAGGTTTTAGTTTTAAGGCTTGTAATGTACAATTTGTCTTTTTTCCCCTTAAGGCAATTTTATTATTTTGCCACCAAGTTTGAAGTCTAAGTAGAAGTTGGGAGGATGCTAAGTGCTAAAGATAAGAGAAACACTTAGAGAGAGCGACTCGTAATAGGAGACACACAAAAAAAAGTGAGCCACCCATCGCATATTAGATCCACTAACAGCTGAAGCGGGTGTATCACAACTTGCTGATATCTGCAATGATCACCTGGCTCATCTGTTATTAAGTGCAAAAGAGAAGAGTGCCACGAGCAACAAGGAATTCGACCAGGTACGAATCAAAGATAGCATGGAACCTTTTTCCTTATAGTTGCAACTAAGATGCCTACATATGGGTGAAGCACCATGCATGCTTGCGGATCAACTTTAAGACGACAAACTACACCGTCGAAATTTGATATTGTACATTCCTAGAGGACCAGAGGCAACTGTGATCTTGACCTCCTGAGGCCGGTTGCCAAATGAGTATGGTGAATTGTGCAATAAGTTTCTTCAAATTTTTGAACTATAGGTGAGCAAATCGTGAAGCTAGACTCTAAATGAAAATTATCGATAATTGATTGACAACTAGGTTAATAACAAGACTTACATATTATCCGAGAAGATAGATTTTACATTATAACTATAATGAAGAATGTGAAGGACACATTAAATAATTCCACTAGACAAAAAAGTTTGCCGATGAATGACTTGCTCAATTACCTTAGGAGGTAGTCTAAGATACTTATCACGTCGAGATACATATGCTTGAACATGTATATACTTCTGATTGTTGTTGATGGAAAGAGAGATATGTATACATAACTTAATTTATGATTGGTAGATATGTATATATAACTTAATTTAGACGCCTATAAGTGTCTGTCTTCTCGAAAAAAAACTTAATTTTAATTGATAGATATGAAAAACATTTGTCCCTCATTTTGAATATAAATGTTCACGTAGATTTTCATCTCTAAGAAGCCATATGCTGTACTGGCATGTGTATCTCGACTAGGGATGGCAATCAAACCCATGGTCGCGGGTATCCGACCTCCCCCGACCCAGTCAACGCAGGGAATCCCCGCATTGACCGGGTATGGGGCGGGTATGGGTAAAACCCGCAAAAAGTTTGATGGGTATGGGGCGGGTACGGGTTTAGCCTCCCCCGACCCATACCCATACCCGCCCCACCAAAAACATTTCTTCACATAGAAAATGTACATTAATTAAATTGTAATCTATCATTAATAGCAAGGGTAACTCATGAAAATAAATAGTAGAAATACAATTGAGTGACCACCCAAATCAGAACATAATTCATTTCCTCCAAATCTTCCTTCATTCTTTGACTTTTTCCCTCATGTTTACAACATTATGTTAGTAAGTTATTTATTACTTAATAGATGTACCAAAGTCAGATAATAATGATTTGGCTTATATTGTTACTCTATCGTATGGATTATTGGATGTTTAGAATAAGATGCTTAGAATAGTATTAAGAATGATTGTTTCTTTGTGGACTTTATGAAATAGTAGGTGCGTTTAGTATTATAATTGAAATTTTTTTATGTAAAATTTTAGCTATTATAATGTAGGATGTACGGGGCGGGTATTACCCATGGGTACCCGAAACCCACGGGTATGGAGATGGGTTTGCAAATCCTTCCCCCGCATTGGTATGGGGCGGGTATGGGTTTGGATATTTGAAAGCGGGGATGGGGATGGCTTAGGCAAACCCGCCCCAAACCCACCCCATTGCCATCCCTAATCTCGACGTGATAAGTATCTTAGACTACCAGTTTGTCCCAGTTGTTGAATCATCAATTAGAATTTACCCTAATACCAGGTTTTTCATTTCCCCCATACTTTCTTGTTGTTATGTTGCAGTTGTAGCGAGAGGGGGCGATAAATAGCATCTTTAGATCCATGCAAACGTATTGTGATTGGGTTTGGGGAAGGGAAAGGAAAGGGAGTAGTAAGTAAGACGAGGCACTACATCGTATGCTAATTTTGGCTCTGTTCTCCATCTTACTTTGTGCTCCTTTTCTTCTCTCATCATATGAGTCTTTAGTTGTTTGCGCTGAAATTGGCGCGGCATGGTGGTGGGTGGCAGCAAGTTAAACGGCTGGC